GGTAGGGGTAGAATTGTAAGGGAAGAAAAGGATGGAAGAGGGGAAAATGGAGGATACCGACCTTGATGTTATGGAGGAACCAATCCTCTGTGATCTCAGCGATCTGCCTCTCGGGCATTCGACCCTACCAAGTCTACTTACTTTCCTCCTCCTCGTCCTCCTCCTTGTCTTCCTCCTTCGTTCTCACCTGCTCGTTGAACGTTTTATCATGCAGAACGCCGACGGTGTTGATGAGCAGGTCAACCTGCTGGAACCTCAGGCCATGCCCCCCAGCCTCCCTCCCACTTCCTCTGTTGTCCTGCTTGTAATCCTTGCCCCTACCTCTTTGACTCCTCCCTTCTCCCTCCTCCCTTCTCCCCCACCTTTTCCAATCTCTTCTTTCCCACCTCCTTCCCTCCTCCTCACCCTTCCATTAGTCTTCGCCTCAATCATCTTGGCAGCTTCCGCAACGCTCTCCTCCACCGTGATATCCATCGGCACAACCTCAAGACGATCTGAGAACTTCTCCTTGAGCTGGAGGAGCTCCTGAGCTCCCTGCGGGTTGCGGACAGCCGTGATAATCCGTCCCTGGAACCTTCACCTCCTCCGTCAGGGGTGCGAAGGCAAAGAGGGAGCGAAAGAAAGAGTGGAGAGGATAGAAGATAGAGAGGAGGGAGAGGAGGGAGGAGGAAGAGTGGAGAGGAGAATGGAGGAAGAGAAAAGGAAGTAAGAGGAGGGGACTAGGAACGAAGTAGAGGGGCGAAGAGGAAAGAGAAGGAAGGATGACAATGGAGGAAGGGAGAAAGGGAGGAAGAGAGGAAGGGAGGAGGTACAACAAGATAGAACCTGTCAGGGAGGGCTGAAGCCATGGCAAGTCCGATCCCGCGCGATGCTCCGACGATGACGGCGACAGAGGAGGGGTCCGAGTTCCTCTTTTCTGCAATGGAGAAGGAAACTCTCAGCCAGTAGGGTAGGAGGTTTACAGCAGCACCTGCGCCGCTCGAAGGGCCCACGGCCATCTCCGTGCTCTGAGAGGAGAAGGACCTTGTCCTTGACAGAGCTCTACATGCTGCTAACGTGTCAGCTACAACGGAGCTCCTCCTCCTTCCAACGAGACCGCTGAGACTCTTCACAGCCAGTCCTCCTGACAGGAAAAGTTGGAGCTGCGGGCAGACTCTCACTGAAGGCAGGCAGACATTTGCAGTCAGAACGTACATGGCTCCTCTTCAACGGTAGCATCACGCTCGTTCGAACTGCCTGCATGCTCTTTGCGTTCCTGAAATTTCCCAAGTCAAGTCCTGGGCTAGCAAGGAATCCGCTGGCAGGGTAGGCTGAGAGAAGAAAGAGCGAAACAACTAAGGCGGTCGTGCGTTTCGTTTCTCTTTCCATCCAGATAGCCTTCAAACAAAACAACACCAATCATGTTCCATTCATACCAAGTAGCAAGAGAGAAGAGGGTGTGCTAAGCAAAAAAGGACAGAATGCGTGTGTAGAACTCGTTGGACCGTAATGTAATTGTGAGATTGCTATGAATAACACAACAAAACGTGTTGCGGGTATGTGTTGTTGCCTTCGAGCTCTCTTGTTCTCATCACACCCTTTGAACTCTCGCATTCTCATCATTCATTAGGTCCATCCTTGAATCATTCTGCACGATTCTCACTCATTCTGCACGATCCTCACTCTCAATGATTCGAAGTTGATTCAAATGAGACGTTCTCAGAACTCTCCTCGCTTGCAACATCACTTTTCGTTGTATCTCGTGTCCACAATGTGAAGATATCCATTTTTCCATTGCGATACCTCGAATTCTCTGTCATCTGCTCCTGCTCTTGCTCGTGCTCCTACTCCCGCCCCTGCTCCTGCTCCTGCTCCTGCTCCTGCTCCTGCTCCTGCTCCTGCTCCTGCTCCTGCTCCTGCTCCTGCCCCTCCTGCTTCTGTCCTCCTCCTGCTGCTGCTGCTGCTGCTCTCATTTTCTTCTTCCCTTTGTATCCCCGCGACATGGCGATCCCCACAAACCATCTTTCATGACCCCTACCCCCTCCAAAATCCTTCTTGGACCTTGGACTATATGGTTGGTAGTAGGAAGATATGAATCAGGAACACCCCTACCCCATCAAATTCCCCCAAGGTCCTTATGTGCCCACCTGTAAAATACAGAAAAAAAGAAAAAAAGAAAAAAATCCTCAACAGGTTTGCGGAACTTGACATTGAGATCAGACTGGAGGAGCGGGGGGAGGAAGGGAAGGAGAGGAGAGGAGAGGAGAGGAGAGGAGAGGAGAGACGGAAGAGGAGCGAGGGAAGAGGAGATAGGAGAAAGGAGAAAGGAGAGCAAGAGAGCAAGAGAGGGTAGAGAGAGGTGACAGGGAGGAGCTGGTGAGGACAGAACAAGATTCTGATCAGTGAACAAGGTACAGAGGAAAATCAATTTATGTGAGATGCACATGGTAGGAGCAATGTGTATACTGTCGGTATAGGTGGAGTGAAAGAGCAGAGGCAGAGACAAGGACAGAGACAAGGCCAAGTTAGGCAAGGAGCTCATTGCATCGCAACAATGGCCCTGCGGATATCCCTTATTTCATACTCCTGCTATCATCGTCTCGACTTTGCCCGATCGCTTGCTATGAGGGACCCCTCTGCCCGTGGCTACAGCAAAGTGATGCCGAGATCGTCGTGGAAGTGTTCACCGACCCACAGACTTGCAGCTCGAGATCGAACGGGCACGGGCCGCTGGAGCTGACAGGTCTTGTCTTGCATGACATGCTGCTGTGGTTGTGAAGGGATGCACTGCAGGGAAGCAGCAGCACATCAAGGTCTTCTTCACCGTCCTCGATGTTGAGAAGGAGAGGGGTATGAAACTCGTCATCTGGGACTCTTGCCAGACTGTCTTCTCCGAGTACGATTACGACCAGCTCGTGACGGCTGAGCACCAGTCAAGCGAGATCTTGATGTACGCGCAAGACCGATGGGTGGGAGGACACGACAACCTCTTCATCCTGCAGCTGCTCCGTGCGGACCGGACGGTAGCAGCTCAGGGTTCGAGTCACTTCACTGTCCCGCGCATTACGAACGTGACTGAGGGGCTGCTGGGGGAGATGGATCAGGAGGGAGGAGGAGGATGCGACGAAAAGGACGAGTGCTTTTCTCATGTCAGGTCGGTACACTGGAGCCCCTTGGCGTGCAGTCAGCCCCGAGCTCCCCTCCGCATCTTCGATGTGAGCTTGTCGCGATGGTCGGAGGATCGGCTCGAACTGTTTGTCCGACCTGGCACGGGGGCAAGACGCGAGGAGAAGTTGGCGATGGAGGGAGCAGGGATGATCAGACTGAGGGCCCAACCTGTGCCCCTCGGCGATGGTTCTTTCTGCGATCACTCTTCTTCCTTTGTTGCAGGGACGATGCTGATGGCGGTGGGAGTTACAGGAGGAAGGTAGGCATGTTGCATGTTGTGAGATCAGGAGTGAAAATTCAGCGTTTTGAGCAGTGTCGAGCACTTTGGTCATTTTCTCCTGGATTATTTGTTCAATCTCTTCAGGATGCATTCTGCTGTACATCAGGGTATGCTATGTATGTTGTGGTGCTGGTGCTGGTGATGATGATGGAGATGGTGGTGGTCGTGATGGTTATGGTGATGGTGATGATGACGATGATGATGGTGGTGATACAGATGATGATGATGATGATGATGATGATGATGATGATGATGATGATGATGCTGACGATGATGATGGTGGCGATGGAGACCATGACTGAGATGATTATGAAGATGACTGTGGCATCGATGATGAAGATGAAGATCATGATGATGCAAAAGGCATCATAGTGACTCTGCATCTGTGTCACAGATGACGTGGACTTTTCCTGGCCTCTGAATTACACTTGTATATTGGACGACATGAGAGAAACGATGTCGGACCTTCCCAAGCGGAAATTCTACAGCACAGTGAACTCAATCTGGTGAAGATGATGCTTGAAATCTGCTGTGCTGATCATGTTCACAGCACACGCTGGTTGTCGTTGGGGGAGCTGCCTGATGGCTCATGCTTTCAGCGGGTGAAGCAGCATGGCTGACTTGCGATCATTCACTTTCCTTCAGGTTATCCTTTCCTTCGGATCTCTGGAGCTGATCCGAGCAGCGGATGTTTCTGACGTCGTTTCTTTGCGACGGCAAGGCAATGAATGTGATGGATTTCTTTTCAGGTTCCCCTGCATGTTTTCCGCCCAGAGTGCAAGTGCGAAACTTTTGCATGATCCATTCATTTCCAGTCACTTTTTTGACAGACATGTGGTTGAAAATTTCCAGAGGAGAATTCTCAATCACTTCGGTAGATGCTGTTGCTGCTCCAAGCTCTGCTTTCCTTCCTTTCTCCTTACCTTCACCTTCTCCTTGCGATGGCTTCCTTGACCTCTTTGACTTGAAAGGTTTGAAAGTCGGGAAGGCTGAAGAGCAAAGAGAAATCATATACCTGTCAAGAAACGTGAGTGAATGAGTCGCGACGACACTGTTCGTGTGACATGCAAGCTAAGGACACGGGATGGAGAAGAATGTTGAACGAGCACGAGCTGGTTTTGAAATGGAACGACAAAAATCCTCATTATCCCATGAGGTCGTTCCAGCTGATACCGAAGAGACGCCTGACAAGATGTCAGATCTGTCTCTCTCCATACCATGACCATGCTCGACCAGTTGTCTCTCCTACAGGTTTGCCCTCCTCCTCCTCGTCCTCTGACTGCTTCTCTCATCCGTCATTTACCTTCCCCCTCTTCCTCCTTCCCCCTCTTCCGCCTTTGCCTCCCTTGATTCTTACTCGACCTGCTATGCAACTCCGACCTTCCCTTCTAGAGGACCCGCGTCATGATCGGCATCAACGGAGGACAAATCAACGCGCTCTTCCTCCTCCCTCCTGTGAGCACATTTGCTTCACCCTCCCCTCCCTCCCCCCTTCCGCTCTCCTCCCTCTCCCCTCTCTCTCCTCTCCCCTCTCACCGCTCTCCTCGCTCTCCTCCCTTTCCCACTCCAGCTCTCTTCTCTCCCCCCTATCTCTCAGCTGAGTCCGAGCTCTACAGGGGTCGACCTGTGCCTCTGTCTTTGCGATGAGGTGGACGGACCAGAACTTTGGCTACGTCTATCATTCGTGGTTGAAGTTGCGTGGGGTGAGACCAGAAAATGGGGAGGAGCAGGGAACGGGAAGGAAGGAGAGGACAGGGAACGGGAAGGAAGGAGAGGAGGAGCAGAAGGAGCAGGAAAGGAGAAGGAAGGAGGAGCGATGACGAGCAAGGGGAGCAACTGGGAGAAAGAAAGCGAGGAGGAGGAGGTAGGGGGGGGGGGGGGAATAGACAAGGGGAGACAGGAGGAGGAGCAGGTAGAGCGGAAGGTGAAAGGAAGACACTGAGAACTTGACAGGTCAGGTACATTCAATTTGATATCACACAGGGAGGGACAACCAACTTAGACTGGCTCTCGTAAGCTGAATGCTATTGCCTCGTCCCTCCTGATCTTCTACTCCCATCTTGACCTGGCTGCTCTCGATACTGAACCCTCCCGTCCCTTCCCTCCTCCACCAATTGCGAGGCAATCGCTCACAATTCTCTTTTCCCCTACCTTCCTTCTCCCAATCGCCCTCCTCCTCGTCCTCGAATCCTCCTCCTCCTCCTCGCTCGTCAGGTTCGCCAAGTACTCGGACGACTGGTCCTCTTCCATGCGGGCGATCAGGGACGCTGACATGTCGATGCCTTACGAGCATTTCCACGAGTTCGTCCACGCGGTAGATGCGCCTTCTTGCTTCTCAGCTCACAAGTTGACAGGCGTTGGATCCTACGGTGTCGAAGTTTGACTCGACGGACTCCCCAGCTGAGCTCTCTAAGGTCGAGCTGGACTCTACATCAGCTGTTGTTATGTGGTTGACCCGTTTGCAGCTTCTGCATCATTTTGAGCGAGAGCAGAGGCTTTGACCTTGCAGGGACCTCCTCCTCCCCCTGTCCTCACCTTTGCTCCTTCTTCTCCTTCCTTCACTTTACACACACAACTCTCCTCCTCTCCTCCTACTTCGCTCTCCTTGTCAACTCTGTTTCCGCGAGGACTTCGACGACGTCGCCAGCTGACCGCAAGCTGCCGACTGATCGTCTCCTCGCGTCACGCGCACGAAGCAGGCGAACCCCCGCTCATGATGTGCCGCTGGAACCTGCAGGTGGACGTCAGCTGGAGGGGTGCAACTCAAGTTCTCTTCCTCTCGATCCGGAGCCGCTGCGCCCTCTTGAACTCCTCCGTCCCGATGTCATTGTAGGGGATCAGATCCACACAGACCTTCAGCCCTGCCAGTACGTGGAACCTCAGCAGGCTTTCAGCTGGCATCAGAGCTGGACCTTGCTCTAGGAGGGGAGTGAGCAGCTTCATGAGCTGATCCGCTTGCTCGACCGAGTCATTGATGCCATCGATAAGCGTGACTGCCACACTTGTCATCCGCTCGCCTTGCTTAGCTGGAGGGACTTGCAAAGCTATTTCTCACCTGCCACCATGAAGGTCGACATCTGCTTGCTCCTGCTCTTGAGCGCGGCGATGTAGGCCTGACTCGAGAGGGTGAAAGGGGGCGCGAAGTTTGTCAGCTCACGTCTCTCAGCTCGACCATCGTGTTCGCCGTGGTGGGGACCAGCTTGGATCGGGTCCTGCACCAACGTCATCGTCTCCTTTCCCTCGCCGAGACTTGTCACGTGTCATCTGCTGCATGCACCGACCATGCGAGCATCGCAGGGATCCCAGCAGCCGCCTGCTCGTCGACGGGTCAGCTGGGGACATGCTGAGAGAGAGAGCAGTAGACCCGGATGACGGCAGGTGAAGGGCCAACGCTGAGAGGAGAGGAACGTCAGAAGTGGAGAAGAACAAGTCTCGACTTGCCTGGACACGGTCACGCGATTTTTCGCCATCTGAAAACAGTTTTGATCGGTGAGGACTTCACAAGCCTGACCAAGAGAGTCAGTGCCGGGGCAGGAGACACAAAAATGAGCAGGAGGAGAAAGCTCGAGTGCTGCAGCGGGTTGACGAAAATCTTCGTGGAGCAGGAGCACGAGTAGGGGCATGGACAGGGGCAAGGGCAGAAGCAGGGAAAGAGCAGGGGCAAGAGTAGGAGGCTCCGTGCCTTCTTGACGTTGACGAAATTGTTGAGCGGTTCTCCCATGCCCATGAAGACAATGTTGTGCAGCGGCGGCAGATTCTCTTCCTTGATGCAACGGAGAGCAATGTAGACCTGAGACAAAATCACATGAAAAAGATCTCCCTGCTCTCGCTCACTTGCGAGAGGATCTCGTGCGAGGTCAGCTGGCGGATGAATCCCATCTTGCCAGTAGCGCAGAAGGAACAGGCCCGATTGCATCCGACCTGGGCACACCATCACACTGCTGCTGTTGCTGCTGCTGCTGCTCCTCCTCCTCCTCCTCCTCGCCCTTCCTCTTCGTCTTTCTCCTGCCCCTGCCCCTGCTCGTCCTCCGCCTCTCCCATCCTCTTCCTCCTGCTACTGCTGCTGCTCCTGCTTCTTCTGCTCCTCTTCAATGTCTCTACCTGGCTGCTCACGCACAAGGTTGTGCGAGGCTCAACGACTGAGGCGGCGGTCGGTCTGCCTTCATGGGGTATGACCACACTCTCGATCTTCGAGGACCCGTCAAGAGCAGTTGGAATGATGAACGAGGGGGAAGCGTGGGAGGGGAGGGGAACAAGACACGGAAAGAGGTAGGAAAGGGAGCAAGCGAGGGCAGGGGGAAGAGGAGGAGTGGGATGGTATACACCTCCATGCCGTCCTGCATGGCGATGAGGAGCTTGATGGTCCCACAAGATGCTCTGGTGACGTGGGAGACTCGCGGGATCTCCTGGAAGTTCTCCTTCAGCTTCTTCCTCGCCTTCTCCGTCACTGTCTCGTCCGTCCATGGGTCCCTCCCAGCCCTGATGCTCGCCCATACCAACTTCGCTTTCCCAGTCCCTCCCAGTAGCTCCCCAAGGTCAGGAAGATGCTCAAAGACCGAGGGCCGCGGCGTCTGCACAAGAGCATCGGCATCGATCGCGTCTGCAGCCACTACCATCCTCATCGCGGATACACTCTCCTGAACGCACTCGGTAAGTCGAAAACCAAGGGTAGCAGCAGCAGCAGCAGCAGCAGCAGCAGCAGTATCTTTCACCTGCTGTTTTGTCCTCAGACGAAAGCAGCTCGACACCTTCGGTCGCAGAGAGGAGAGGAGAGGAGAGGGAGAAGCTCGAAGCAATGGCAGGAGAACATTGTTGTAAGATTCGCAGAAATGAGAGAGAGAAACGATGAGGGCAATGAAGAAGGCTGGTGACCGACCGATCATTCTCATGCTGCAGTGAAAGCATCAAAACAGACTCAATCAGAGCATCAGCTGATCGTTGTGATGACGATCATCTTCCCAGCCATATCCTGCTTTCTTCTGCCTGCTGTCACTTTGCGCCTGCTCCCTTATACTATTCATTGCTTACTCCTCTCATCTCCTCTTTCTTCTCTAAACCTGTCCGTCAGCCATCATCTAGTCTATCTGATACCTTCTGCCATCTTCCCTTCCTTCTTCTATCGTCCCTACTCCACCACCACCACCTCCTCCTCCTCCTTCCATATGTCTGTCTCCTTCCATGCTGCTGGTTCACGTTTGGCCCCCGGTGCCTGCTGTCCTCCACTCCCTTCAATTCGCTTGATATGACTCGAGCTATTCGTATCTTGCTGCCCAACTTCCTTGTTTTTCAACAGTCAGTTCAACCGTGAGTGCCGCGCGCGGCAGTGCGCGGCGCCGCGGCGGGCTCCGAAGGGGACCGTGCTGCCTAAGAGATAGACTGTATGCTAGGATGTGAAACCCAAGCATCCAGACATGGGGGGACCTTAGCAAGACGGCTAAGAAGGTCTCCTTTTCAATCAGTCGAGCCTCTGCAATGTAACTTCCGGACTCCGGGAGTCCGGCGTCTTGGTTTACAGGAGAGTTTTTGTTAACTCGGCGCTATCTGACTGGCACGGCTGGCCTACGATCCATCCTCCGCACTGTGTGACCCGGGCCGGGGCGGGCGTGTTACTTTTTCCAGTGTAGCGGTCGGAGGCTCGCCCGGGGGCCCGGCCGCCCACCGGCGGGGCCCGGTCCGACGGTCTGTGCTGACCGTTATATTAAGAAAGATCAGAAGGTAACGGACAGAAACAACATGGATGGGTAAGATGCATAGTCCATGGCGGGGAGCGGGAGGAGATGGGGAGAGAGAGCGCGAGAGAAGATGAGCGACGGAGATGCGAGCAGAAGAGAAGATGAATGAGGAGTAAGTTCAAGGGGAGTACATGCTTGAAAGGAGCCAGGGAAGCAGGATACGAGGCAGTCTTGTGCTGTCGTGTTGAGATTTGAATTTTTGATTTGTTACATTGGCTTCCCCTGTTTCGCTTGCATGACATGGTGTATCAGAGATCTTCTTGCTCTTGCTCTTGCTCTTGCTCTTGCCCTTTCTATCCTTCTGCATCTGAAGCTTCTCATCACTTCAGAAGCACGGAGCAGCGAAGCTTGCAAGACGATCAGCAGGACGCGGAGTCGAAGAAGCTCCCAACGCACATAGACGACAAGGTGTCTCGAAGTTCTCAACAGCTCCATGCATGACTGACATGTGTGAACAGGACAAGAACGAGATCGGTGATGGCGATGATGCGTCGCCATAGCGTCGCTGGTAGGTTTCGCCATTGCTGACGATCACTCAGGAGGGGATGCTGTCTGGACACTGAGTACTGCGAAGCCTGGGAATGGTGTTGAGCAACTCAGGTGAGTTGGAGGAGAGCGACAGCGAGAGCGAGAGGTAGAGCGAGAGAGCGAGAGCGAGAGAGGGAGGAAGAGGTCGAGGGAGAGGAGGAGCAAGCTGAGACCTTGTTCAGAGACAACAACACGGACACCTACTGGCAGTCCGACGGGCCTCAGCCGCATCTAGTCAACATTCAGTTCCACAAGAAGGTGGAGGAGGGAGCAGGAGGGGGCAGACTGATGGGCTTGCAGGTGAGTATCAAGGAGATCGCGATGTACTGTGACTTCAAGTTGGACGAAAGTTACACACCGAGCAAGATATCGTACAAGAACATCTCTGTACCTTGTTCTTCTTCTGAAGTTTCTGCAGTATCAGGGCTGGAACACACTTCCATGACTTGCAGGTAGTCCTCCGCTTGCTCGTTGATGGCAGCTCACCGCCCTCGCAGGACGTGAAAGAAATCAACCTGGAAGAGCCATGCGGATGGCTGACGGTAGCAATGAGTGAAAAAGATACTGCTGAGATAGATGCTGCTGCTGCTGCTGCTGCTGCTGCTGCTGCTGCTGCTGCTGCTGCTGCTGCTGCTGCTGCTGCTGCTGCTCCTCCTCCTCCTCCTCCTCCTCCTCCTCTTCCTCCTGCTCCCTCTGCTCCTCTACAACCACCACCTCTTCCATCACCTCTTCCACCACCTCCACCTGCTGCTGCTGCTGCAATGACAAGGCCGATTTGCTTCAGGTGCCGCTGAGCAGAAGAGATCTTGCGCCTTCGGAGGTGGAGGAGAACAGTGATTTCTCGTGTGACAGTAAGCGATTGTGTCAAGTGATGAATCACATGACTTGCCTGCAGACTCTCTCAGAGCTTTCATGATTCAGATCGCAGTGCTTGCAAACCATGAGGTAAAACGATGTCCGTGTCTGAAGAGAAGAGAAGAGAAGAGAAGAGAAGAGAAGAGAAGAGAGAAGAGAAGAGAGAGAAGAGAAGAGAAGAGAAGAGAAGAGAAGAGAAGATATCTGATGTGATGTGATGTGATGTGATGTGATGTGCTGTGCTGTGATGTGATGTGATGTGATGTGATGTGATGTTATCTGATGTGATTGAAGCAATGTGATGTATGATGCAATCATCTTCGAGAGATTTAGTGATGTATCTGTTGATATTCTTGCAAGTTCCTTCGGTGCGAGATGATCGATTGAGTTTTGATCTTCCACTCTCAGAATGGTCGAGACTCTCACATCCGTCAGATCAAGATCTACGGACCACGTCCTGTCGCCCCTGGTGTTGCCCTCCTCCTCTCCGCTCCTCTCCTCTGCTCCTCTCCTCTCCTCTCCTCCCTTTCATCCTCTCCTTTCCTCTCTATCCTCCCTCTCCTCTCCTGATCTCAATTCCTGTCCCTTTCTCTCCTGCTCCCCTCCACCACTCACTTCTCCTGCATACCTTCGCTCACCCGCTCCTCTTCCTCTTCCTCCTTGCATGCTGGCTGTAATCAAATTGGGCAGGGCTGGAGGGGCTGGAGGTAGGAAGCAGCTCGTTCTCGACACCTGAGTTCTCCTCCTACTCTTCGATCCGATGACCTCGTGCGCTAGTCGGAGAGGAAGGAAGAGAGAAGGGAGATTGAAGCCTGCAGGAGGAGAGGACAAGGTCAAGAAAGGCAGGACAGTACCTGCTGCAAGGAGTGTTCAATCTCAGGAGGAGGAACCGGGGAGGACGGGGACGGGGACGGGGACGGGGACGGGGACGGGGGTGTATCTGAATAATTTCTTGCTAATTGGAACATGACAAGTACATTGTAAGATATTCATCAGATGGTTGATGACTTGGCAGAAAGTCCTGGAAGCTCGTCAAGATGGAGAGATCGATTGAGAGATCGAATGAGAGGAGGTGAGAGGGAAGGGGAGACAAGAGAAGATGCTGAGAAGATGGGAGGATGGGAGAGAATTTGAGAGGAAGAGAGGGCGAGGTAGGTCAAGGAAATCAGGGAAGGAGGGAAGGAGGGAAACAGGCGAGGGAGGGGAGGGAGGGACGAGGAGCGGGGGAAAGGAAGGCAGGAAGGGAGGGAGGAACTGTCATCGTACCCATCACGCGTCCTAAGGAGCTCTCGCGGTTCTCTTGAGCTCGCTTGTCTCCGAGGAACATCAACGAGCAGCGCGCGAGCATCTGCTGCTGCTCCTCCCTGGCGCGACTGAGAAGCTCCTGCCATGTCGGGCTCTCCTTCCTCCCTCGCGCGCTCTCCTTCGCCTGCATGGCAGTCAAGCGACCGAGGAGGAGAGTGATGATGATGATGATGATGATGATGATGATGATGGAGGAGAAGGAGGCGGAGGAGGAGGAGGCGGAGA